CCATTCAGTGTGGCTGTATACACTATGATTAGAATGTCCCATTAAGTGTGGCTGTATACACTATGATTAGAATGTCCCATTCAGTGTGGCTGTATACACTATGATTAGAATGTCCCATTCAGTGTGGCTGTATACACTATGATTAGAATGTCCCATTCAGTGTGGCTGTATACACTATGATTAGAATGTCCCATTCAGTGTGGCTGTATACACTATGATTAGAATGTCCCATTCAGTGTGGCTGTATACACTATGATTAGAATGTCCCATTCAGTGTGGCTGTATACACTATGATTAGAATGTCCCATTCAGTGTGGCTGTATACACTATGATTAGAATGTCCCATTCAGTGTGGCTGTATACACTATGATTAGAATGTCCCATTCAGTGTGGCTGTATACACTATGATTAGAATGTCCCATTCAGTGTGGCTGTATACACTATGATTAGAATGTCCCATTCAGTGTGGCTGTATACACTATGATTAGAATGTTCCATTCAGTGTGGCTGTATACGCTATGATTAGAATGTCCCATTCAGTGTGGCTGTATACGTTATGATTAGAATGTCCCATTCAGTGTGGCTGTATACACTGTGATTAGAATGTCCCAGTGTCGCTGTATACACTATGATTAGAATGTCCCATTCAGTGTGGCTGTATACACTATGATTAGAATGTCCCATTCAGTGTGGCTGTACACGCTATGATTAGAATGTCCCATTCAGTGTGGCTGTACACGCTATGATTAGAATGTCCCATTCAGTGTGGCTGTATACGCTATGATTAGAATGTCCCATTCAGTGTGGCTGTATACACTATGATTAGAATGTCCCATTCAGTGTGGCTGTATACACTATGATTAGAATGTCCCATTCAGTGTGGCTGTATACACTATATTAGAATGTCCCATTCAGTGTGGCTGTATACACTATGATTAGAATGTTCCATTCAGTGTGGCTGTATACACTATGATTAGAATGTCCCATTCAGTGTGGCTGTACACACTATGATTAGAATGTCCCATTCAGTGTGGCTGTACACACTATGATTAGAATGTCCCATTCAGTGTGGCTGTATACACTATGATTAGAATGTCCCATTCAGTGTGGCTGTATACACTGTGATTAGAATGTCCCATTCAGTGTGGCTGTATACACTATGATTAGAATGTCCCATTCAGTGTGGCTGTATACACTATGATTAGAATGTCCCATTCAGTGTGGCTGTATACACTGTGATTAGAATGTCCCATTCAGTGTGGCTGTATACACTATGATTAGAATGTCCCATTCAGTGTGGCTGTACACACTGTGATTAGAATGTCCCATTCAGTGTGGCTGTATACACTATGATTAGAATGTCCCATTCAGTGTGGCTGTATACACTATGATTAGAATGTCCCATTCAGTGTGGCTGTATACACTGTGATTAGAATGTCCCATTCCGTGTGGCTGTATACACTGTGATTAGAATGTCCCATTCAGTGTGGCTGTATACACTGTGATTAGAATGTCCCATTCAGTGTGGCTGTATACACTGTGATTAGAATGTCCCATTCAGTGTGGCTGTATACACTGTGATTAGAATGTCCCATTCAGTGTGGCTGTATACACTGTGATTAGAATGTCCCATTCAGTGTGGCTGTATACACTATGATTAGAATGTCCCATTCAGTGTGGCTGTATACACTATGATTAGAATGTCCCATTCAGTGTGGCTGTATACACTATGATTAGAATGTCCCATTCAGTGTGGCTGTATACACTATGATTAGAATGTTCCATTCAGTGTGGCTGTATACGCTATGATTAGAATGTCCCATTCAGTGTGGCTGTATACGCTATGATTAGAATGTCCCATTCAGTGTGGCTGTATACACTATGATTAGAATGTCCCATTCAGTGTGGCTGTATACACTATGATTAGAATGTCCCATTCAGTGTGGCTGTATACACTATGATTAGAATGTCCCATTCAGTGTGGCTGTATACACTATGATTAGAATGTCCCATTCAGTGTGGCTGTATACACTGTGATTAGAATGTCCCATTCAGTGTGGCTGTATACACTATGATTAGAATGTCCCATTCAGTGTCGCTGTACACACTATGATTAGAATGTCCCATTCAGTGTCGCTGTATACACTATGATTAGAATGTCCCATTCAGTGTGGCTGTATACACTGTGATTAGAATGTCCCATTCAGTGTGGCTGTATACGCTATGATTAGAATGTCCCATTCAGTGTGGCTGTATACACTATGATTAGAATGTCCCATTCAGTGTGGCTGTATACACTATGATTAGAATGTCCCATTCAGTGTGGCTGTATACACTAGAATGTCCCATTCAGTGTGGCTGTATACACTATGATTAGAATGTCCCATTCAGTGTGGCTGTATAGACTATGATTAGAATGTCCCATTCAGTGTGTGTATACACTATGATTAGAATGTCCATTCAGTGTGGCTGTATACACTATGATGGAATGTCCGGTGGAAACGTATACTATGATTAGAATATCATTCGGTGTGGTATATGCACTATGATTAGAATGTCCCATTCAGTGTGGCTGTATACACTATGATTAGAATGTCCCATTCGGTGTGGCTGTACATGATTAATCCCATTCAGTGTGGCTGTAGCATACACTATGATTAGAATGTCCCATTCCGTGTGGCTGTATACACTATGATTAGAATGTCCCATTCCGTGTGGCTGTATACACTGTGATTAGAATGTCCCATTCCGTGTGGCTGTATACACTGTGATTAGAATGTCCCATTCCGTGTGGCTGTATACACTGTGATTAGAATGTCCCATTCCGTGTGGCTGTATACACTGTGATTAGAATGTCCCATTCAGTGTGGCTGTATACACTGTGATTAGAATGTCCCATTCAGTGTGGCTGTATACACTATGATTAGAATGTCCCATTCAGTGTGGCTGTATACACTATGATTAGAATGTCCCATTCAGTGT